GAGTGTTCAGAGGTGTACTAGGAAATGTTCACAGGGCCTTCGATTTCAAGTCACTCTCTGTCATTCATTATTTTTTTAGGTGGCTGTCTAGCATGCCAAATTTGTGCGTAGCATGCAGTTTTCTTCTTTTTACTCGAATATTCAGTGCTCTAAGTACCACTCTCTTCTACTCTTGATCTACACTTCGGACCGTGCAAATACTGTACCCACGCCTTTTCAGGACACTATCACTGTTGCAGGTGAAGGGGTAAAATCTCAGTCAAAGGTGTTTACTTGAATAAGTGCTACGAGAGGTTAAGTAGCAATCAGTTTACAGTGTAATACGACCAGTTACCAGCAGCATTTCAGGCCATGCGATCTCTACCACACATGTTACACTCTGTGTGGCCTTTCTATAGCCCAGTATTATGCAACTGATGGTATTGTTGGCGGCGAAATGAACCGCTTGGTATGAATTATTTGTGTTGGTATTATCATCGATCAGCTTAGATAAGCCGTGAAGTCAACCCCCCGCCCCCCTCTCCCTCGTATTTCTCTGTTTTAAAGAGGTGAAAGCATGAGGGTCATGAGGGAAAAGCACATTGCCAAAAATGGCCACTTCGTACGTTCGGGCCGGTTGCGAAAAAGAATTTTCATGCATTTTCAATCACGGCATTTGGTAAAATTTTAGGCAAGGATATCGCCAGTGTATGGTATTGTTGAGGAAGCAGAAAAACGAGCAGTGGAGTATTTCGGGAAACTGGACAACCTCGATGCAAGGGGAACAGCTAGTGCCCAAACATGACGATTATGTACTTACAATGTCTTTGCAAATTTTTTAACATGTGACATAGAACGTTTCTGCTTTGCTTTCTTTCATATATTTTGCAAAATTCACAGCTTATTGGATGTCTCTGTGTTTTGTGCTGTGCTCTTACGCCTTCTTACCTACCATGTTGTTTTGTTGTTTGGGAACTGACAGTTTTTAGACTTACGTAAGAGTTACGGTCTTGTTCATCGCTGAGGAGACCTCATTTTTCTTCCAAATAATTCACAAAATTTCGACTCAAATATCGTTTAGGTAAATGTGCTTCCGGATTTTTTTCTTTCATATATCGAGAATTTCAAATCATTTGACCGCACACTCTAAGTTCTGCTCTAGCATGTTTCTGCTTCATTTAAACAGATTGTTCTCTGAGTCTGGACAGCAGAATCTCTAATTTCGGATACTTGCACTTCATCTGGCTCGCTTTTATCTAAATTACGCGCGTTGTTTTTTAAATAGGAGGACTGGGAAAAAAGCAGACCAGCAGTTTTGTCTGTGGGCTTGGCACTGTGATGAAAAGCTCGCAAAAAGTGCCAGTTCAACTACTGTTCTGATAAAAAAATTTGAAACGTTACTCGCATATCTGTCACTTTTGGGAAAAA